TCAGGGTCAGGAGACTGATGTGTGAAAAGGTGGGAACCACACAATTCCTCAGGGCCAGAGGACCTCCTCAGGGTGGCTCATATTTGGGAGTGAAAACTCAGGCCACAGACATTCCTCCTTTCCATCAGGCAGCACTTCCTCTCTTTTCAAGCCTATTTAGCGTCACTTGTTGCATTGGCGCTGGCCCCTGGTAGTGTCTTGGGGCCCTTGAACTTGGCCGTCAGCCCACCCCCAGCTAGGCTGAGGCAGCTTCTCCTTGGTAGGAAAGTGTAGATCATCTCTTGCTAGGCTTCCACAGTGCCTCACAGAATGTTCCTCTTCCCTGCCTCTAACTCCAATTCTTTTGTCAAATACAATCTTTCGTGGAATTCCAGTTGTCAACAGATTTAAAGAAAAGCTGGTTCTCTGTTTCAAGAGCCGACTGTAGAGTTCACAATCCTTTACTCAGCTTCCCTCGCAGTGCCCCCACCACAGTTGCCCCTGTAACAAGTCTCTGGAAAGCCAGAGCCAGCAGAACATGCTTTAGAAAATGAGTAGCTGGCCATACTAGTCATCCCAGGGCCTGCTTGTCTCATGAGCCCACAAATGGTGACCTAAAAGAACCTCATAATTTGTTCCACCTACCCTGTAAGAAGTGTTTCTCCTCCTGAATTCCCCATCCCCACTGTCCACCCCTGGGGAATGAATCAGAATCCTGGCCATCTTCTGTGGCTCCTCTCCCCCGCATCTGTATATCAAATCCCCAGACTGGACTCTTTCCTGTCTGTCTGAGACTTTTCTGTCCCTTGCCTGTGCTTTGTTCCCTAAGAGGGGATGGTCTCCAAAAATTTCCCTAACAAGAGTCTGGATCCTGATAAGGGGTGAGCCACCTCTACAACAAACAATAAAGTTAGTTTAATGGGGGAGTGGGAGAGAGATCTAGGCCAGCAGGCCTTTTGTGCTGACAAAAGTCTCCATGAGCCATTATGGGGAATTACACCATGAGCCACTTACTCTGCATGGAGGTGGACCTGGTCCTTCAAGTAGGTGTTGGAGACAGACAAAGAGTGAACCATATGTCAATCACAGGGGCAACTGGGTTCTGACAGCCTCCTGGTGCCTGAAAGTTGTCCTCATTAGGCATTTGATATAAATCATCATGCTTGCTCAGAAACTGATCTCTCCTCTTCAGGGCCCAAAGGATTAAGGCCAGAATCCTTGCCTTGGAGTCCACGCTTTTGGAGATTGACCCTGCTGCCCTTTTCTGCCAGGAGGACTTTCCTAGAACCAACATTCAAGCCAAGCAGGTGCCCTGCAACCAACAACCTCTATATATTTTTAGCAGAATTGAGTAGCATAAGATTGGAAGGTACCCAAGCTGGGCCAGGGCCTATGGTGGATGCTCACCAACAGAACTCCCCTGTGGAGGCATCTGAGTCTCAGGAGAAATTTTAAGCAGGGCTTTTTAAAAAGTAACTTTATTTTATTTGTTTATTCTTTCTTTTTATGTGGTGCTGAGGATCGAACCCAGGACCTCACATGTTCTAGGCAAGCGCTCTACCATTGAGCCACAATCCTAGCCCCTTAAGCAGGGCTTTTGTTTCAGAGGAGACATCTTCTGTTACATACATCTAGAATCTGATTACTTCCCACCATCTCCACTACAACCAAACTGGTCCTAGGCACCATCATCTCCTGCAGAGGAGTAATTCCATAGCCCCTCAAAAGTCTCTTCTTTCTTCCCTGCCCCTTTTAAAACACAAACCAACCTTGTCTCTTCTCTGTTCAGAACCTTTCAGTGGCTCCCCATTTTGGTCAGGGTAAAAGGCCAAGTCCATACTTTGACCTAGAAGACCTTCTATAATCTAGATCCTACCAATCTCTCTGACTTCACCTACTTAGTTCCTCTAAATCAATTTGCTTGTCTTTTTGATGCAAGGAGCTATGAAGTTCAGACAGCCATACTCCTTGCTTCCTCATGTCCATCAAGCCTGTACTCAAATGCCACCTTCTCAGTGTGGCTTTCCATGACCACTCCTTTTCACTATAAAGCCTTCTCTTTCTACCCAAACCCTTCCCACCACTCAGTACTGCAGTACTCTACCTTATGCTATTCAAAGTTTTCCCCATAACATTGATCACCTCATAACATACTATATAATTTGGTAATTAATTAATTTCTAGCTGTCTTCCTTTACCACATTGCAAACTTCTCAAAGGCTTGGATTTGTTTTGGTTTATTTTCTTCACTGATGTAACCCATCTGCCTACAACAGTGCCTGGCATATACTGTGTCCTCAACAATTATATGTTCCATTAAGAAACCCTTCCAGGATGTCTCTCCTCCAAGTTCTTGACCCACAGCACATGTCTGGATGAACCAATATGCCTTCACATTCCCAAAATTCCATCATACACAAACACATGCTTGCAGATGCCACCAAATGAAGAGGATATGTAAACAAATGTGCTGACAACTAGAGACCTTTGTACATGCAGATTCACACGCAGTGGTCACATGAACATATGTACATGCATTGGGAAATCATATTTTCAAAATAAATTTATTATGACCTTGAAGGAACTTTTTTGCAACATTCTGTTATAAAACTTCAAACATATAGAATAGTTGAAAGAATAATATGGTGAACACCCACTGTCTAGATCATGCAGATAATATTTTGCTATGTTTGATTTTATATCTAACGATCCCTCTATCCACCTAGGAATACATTTTATATGCATTTCAGAGTAAATTGCAGACATCAGGACTCTTCATCATTAAACATTTCAGCCTCAACAGGAGTTCAATATTGTTTACTTTTCTTTGTTGTTTTTTGGTACTGGAGATTGAACCCAGGGATGCCCTACCACTGAGCTCTATCTGTAACCCTTTTCATTTATTTATTTTATCATGAGAGAGAGAGTGTCACTAGTTACCCAGGATGACCTCAAACTTGCCATTCTCTTGCCTCAGCCTCCTGAGTTATTGAAATTACAAGCATGCTCCACCATGCCTGACCCATGTTTGTTTACATTTAAGGTAAAATTTAGGTTCAATGAAAGGCACAAATACTAAGTGTATATTCACTGAATTTTGACAAATGAGTTTTTGATCTGTGTAACTCAAAGTCCTATCAAAAGAGATAATATCTTAGGCCCCAACTTCCTTAATAAGACTCCTATAGCTCAACAATTAAAATCAGAAGTCAATAAATGGGATGGATTCAAACTAAAAAAGCTTCTTCTCAGCAAAAGGACCAATCAGTGAGGTAAATAGAGAGCCTACAATTTTTAACAAATTTTTACCACACATACATCAGATAGAACACTAATCTCTAAGAAATATATAGAATTCAAAAATCTGAACACCAAAAATCAAATAACTCAATCAATAAATGGGCTAAGGAACTGAACAGACACTTCTCAGAAGAACATGTACAATCAATCAACAAATATATGAAAAAATGTCCAACACCTCTAGCAATTAGAGAAGTGCAAATCAAAACTACTCTTAAAATTTCACCTCACTCCAGTCAGAATGGCAGCTATTATGAAGACAAACAACAATAAGTGTTGGCAAGGATGTGTGGGGAAAGGTACACTCATACACTGCTGGTGAGACTGCAAATTGGTGCAGCCAATATGGAAAGACGTATGGAGAATCCTTGGGAATGGAACCACCATTTGACCCAGCTATCCCTCTCCTTGAACTATACCCAAAGGACTTAAAAACAGCATCCTACAGAGACACAGCCACATCAATGTTTATAGCAGCACAATTCACAATAGCTAAACTGTGGAACCAACCTAGATGCCCTTCAGCAGATGAATGGATAAAGAAAATGTGGTATATATACACAGTGGAATATTATTCAGCAGTAAAAGAGAATAAAATCGTAACATTTGCAGGTAAATGGATGGCGTTGGAGAATATAATGCTAAGTGAAGTTAGCCAATCACCCCAAAAAACAAATGCCAAATGTTTTCTCTGATTCAAGGATGGTGATTCGTAATGTGGTGATGGTGGGGGGGTCATGGGAGGATTAGATGAACTCTAGATAGGGCAAAGGGGAGGGAGGGAAAGGGAGGGGCTGTGGGGGTAGGAAAGATGGTGGAATGAGATGGACATCATTACCCTAGGTACATGTATGAAGACACGAATGCTGTGACTCTACTTTGTGTACAACCAGAGATATGAAAAGTTGTTCTCTATATGTGTAATATGAATTATAATGCATTCTGCTATCATATATAACAAATTAAAATAAAAAAGAGATGATATTACTTTCATCCCCCAAACTTTCTTCAAGCTCCTTCTTAGGAAATCCCTTAGCAGAGAGCAACCATTGCTCTGATTTTTTTTTCAAGATAGATGAATCTGTTTTGATTATTCTAGAACTTTATGTATATGGAATAATACAATATGTGCTAATTTATTCATTCATTCAATAAAAAATTGTTCAGTACGTAATGTGTACCCAGAGACATACATGTCATGTTTCTTCTCTGTGAGTAATATGTTCCTACAAAAGCCAAAGGCTTTTCGGGGTCTGACCTGTGACCTTCTCTCTTTAGCCCTCCAGGTACATTCTGAGTGACCACAGATACTTTGGCCTCAGAAACAGAGATGTAAATCCTGTGTCCCATCTGAGCCCTGGGTTCCTTCCAGCCCACCCTACCATTTCAGGATGGCCCTGAAAACTTTTCAACAGCCTCACCTCCACCTACTCACTTCCCATACCAGGACTTCATCCATGCTTCACTATCCAGGTGAGCAAAGAGATGTCACAACCTCAGTTTAGGCCAAGTTCAAGTGGGTAAAAGTGCAGGTGGGTGGGCAGATGGAAGGCACTGACAAGCAGAGGCAGATGTAGTCCTGCAATCTTGTGGAGGGAGAGGTGTGGCAGGGGGCGGAGACTAGGCAGCGCTAGAGAAGAAAGCATGAAGAGAGGAAACATCGCTGGCCCCTGAGCAGTGAGGGCTGGTGACAGTCTAACACTTACCTGGAGCCACTGGGATCCTGGGCATAATGCTCTTGCCCTCCAAGAAGGACCTCAAGACCGCCATGGAGGTCTTTGCTATCTTCCAGTGGGCCCTCAGTGCCTTCCTTATAGGTGAGTCTTCAGGCTTCTGGAGGGTGACCAACCATCCTGGCTTACCTAGGAAGGAAGGATTTGGGGTTGTTAGGATGTTTAATGCCCAAATTGAGGTTGTCAAACACGGACAGTTGGTCACCATGGTCTGTGTCCTGACCCACCTGGGCTGGGGGGCATGGCATTTGTGAAACCTGTGGGTATGTGTGAGTACCTACACATATGTGCCTGGGCAGGAAGGAATGCTTGCCTGTGTACGTGTGTATGTGTACCTTTCTGCAGGTGTGTGTGGCAGGCCCTCCTGGGTCTACACTGTGGTGTGGAGGGCATGTTATAGATGATGGGGAGCAGTTCCACTGAGGTTGGCTAAGGAGGAGAGCTTGACTGTAATCTCAGGAAGTTGAGCAAACCCTATGTGAGTGGGAGTGGACCTGATAGTATGACAGGTTTTCAGGACCTCCTTGTCAGTGTCAGCTGTCATTCTGTGTGTAGCTATTACTATAAATTTTTGTGCAAAAAATAGCTTCTACTTCATAAGATTGGCAGAGGCTAACATGAAATGATGGATGTGAAAATGCCTGGTACAAAGGAAGTACCTAATACATATGCATTCCCTTCTCTGGTTCTTCCATATAAGCTATTCATGCTAAAAACCACACACACATAATGAGAGTTGGCACTCAGAGGGAGGCTCTGGAAACCTGTCATCCAGAGGAACACATCCATTTATCCATCCATTTTTTCCCAACACCTGTGCCACAAACATTCTGCGAGGTTGATTGATATGCTGGCCATTGTGTTCTAGATGTTGAAATAAACCATCACTGTGGGAGGGAGGCCTGGAAAACAAAACCAAAATCTTGCCTATCCAATGGTTCATGTGAGTAGTGGCTGGAGTCAAGGGCATGGATTAAGTGATCCTGTAAGCTATCTGGGGAATGTACATAGGCCCTGAGAACTTGGGAGTTGGCACAGGGACCTGCCAACAAATGGGACATTTCTTACTGCAACTGATTTCCAGGCTAAGAGCCAGGGAGCAGGGGGCTCAGAGGCCTGCCTTGGGTGCCTACCAGGACTCCCTAAGACTGAAAAGAGCAGTGTTAATTAACCTAGGAATGATGGCAGTTAGAGCTGGAAGAGACCAGAGAAGGGAATGCATATGTATTAGGTCCTTACTTTGTACCAGGTAATTTCACATCTGTTATTTCATGCCAGCCTCTGCCAATCTTGTGAAGTAGAAGCTATTCTTATACATAATAATTCATACTAATAGCTGCACACATGGAATGATAGCTGACACTTACATAAGACTAGCTAACATTTATGGCCCCATTATTTCATGCCAGGCTCTGTTCTAAGCACTTTGTGTGGCTAATTAATCACCATTGTCCAACTGAGAAAGCTGTAGTTTGTGCGTTCAGTCCAAGATTACATGGCTGGCAGGGGTGGAGGTGGGCTGGGAGTTGAGTTCCTGAGAACCTAAGTTCCTTTCTTAGTCCATTGCATCTGCTTACTCACTGCTGATTGGAAGTTTGGGGTGGAACCCAGAGTACACAAATGCAGAGGAGGAGACAGGAAGCCAGGCCTTCTGCATATGTAAGAGTTCCTTACTGGAAAGAGGAAAGGCCAGCTCAGAATGGCCTCCTGCTGAAGACAAGGTCCCAGCTGGGCCTGTGCACTCTCCCCACTATGTGGCCTGGGCAAACACTGTCTTCAGTAAGGGTTGAGTTCCCCATCTGGGCTGAATGGGCAACCATCCTCACTGCCAATTCTCTGGCTGCTGGGGCTCAAAAACATCTGAAGTGAAAGTGCCAGGAAAAGTACTGAGGAAGAGCAGTTTCCCTTCAGGGCTAGGTTGTCTTCACTTGGTTAAAAAGGATCTTTGGATTTGGCTCCAGGAGTCCCAGAAACTTCAATCAGTAGCTTTGTGGCACCTGCCACCAGTTCTTCCCTGTGATGCTGTTTTGATGCAGAAGCTTTGGGACATTGGGTTCTGTTCTAGGAATCGCATATCTCTTATCTGAAATGCTCAGGACCAGAAGTGTTTGAGAGTCTGGATTTTCTTGTTTTGGAATATGTGCATACACATAATGAGATATATTGGGGATGGGGCTCAAGTCTAAACAAGAAATTGATTTATGTTTCATCTACAGTGATCTATGTTTCATCATTTGGTAGTAATTTTATACGATATTTTCCGAGCATCCAAATTTTACAACTGTCACATGAGATTAGGTGTGGAATTTTCTACTTGTGATGTCATGGTCATTCTCAACTAGTTTAGGATTTTGGCCAGGTGTACTGGTGCACACCTGTCATTCTAGCTATTGGGGAGGAGAATTTTAAGTATATATATTAATATATTAATCTGGATAGTCTAGGAATGCTGTAGTAACAAATTAACCCTGAAATCTCAGTGGCTTACATCAGAAAATGTTTATTTCTTTTTCATGCTAAATGTCCAAAACAGTTGGGTGGGAGTCTCTGCCCACTGTGGACACTAATGTTCAGAAAACAGAGGCAGCTCCAAATGGGGATGCTACAAAACGTGGCTTCAGGGATTACCACAGCATAAGAAGGAAAGCGAGCGCAGAACTCATGTGAACTTCTTACTCTCTCCAACCAGAAGTGATAGGTAAACAACAATGAGCCATAGCCTTAGCCTTATTTTGAACTTCTTTAATTATGAATGAGGTTGAGCATCTTTGTGTATGTTTACAAGTGATTTCTATTTTTCTCTTAACTTCCCATTCATGACCTTTGTCTGTTTTTCCATTGAACTCAAGTCAACTCTTGAAAGGCAAAGAAGGGACAGATGTTGGGGATGGAGAGTGGGCAACATGTGAAGATGCCAGGACGAAGGGCAGATCCAGTGCATCCAAGGGGCTGCCAGTGTTTAAGTGGAGTGGGAATAAGAGGCACAGAATTGGTGCTTTGTACATATTGAATGAATGAATGAATGAGAGAGGAGTAAAGAGAAGACTGGAGAAGCAGACAGGGAAAAGATTGTGTAGGGCATTGAAAACCATGGAAAGAACAGTGTTTGGTGACACATGTAATAATTCCAGTGACTGGGGAGGCTGAGGCAGGAGGATCTCAAGTTTAAGGCCAGCTTTGGAAACTTAGGAGACCCTGTCTCAAAACACACATACACACACACACACACACAGAGAGAGAGAGAGAGAGAGAGAGAGAGGAATTTGGACTTTTTCCTGAGTGCCATATGGAGCCAGGCTGGGGTTTGGCACAGGATGATGGCATCAGATTTGTTGTTTGGAGAGAACATTATAGTTCTGCACAGTAAATTGTAAACTGATCACAGAAAAGCAGGAGTGGAGGCAATGATGCCAGGTAGGAAGGAGACTTTTGAGACATCGTGATGATTTGGACCAGGCTAGTGATGGGCATGAAGAGGAAAGGAGAGATTCAAGAAACTGGAGTAGAATTGACCTGACTTGATGATCAGAAGATGTCAGTGAGATAAAGAGAGAAAGCAAGACTGAGGGGTTGGGTCCCAAGGTGAGCTGGCAGAGGGGTGAATGGAGCAGAGAAGGGTTAAGGAGGAGAGTGGCTGAAGGGCAGAT